CCTCGGGCTCTGCCCGGCCCGTTCCCCTCAGCCGCTGCCCGGCCCGTTCCCCTCGGGCTCTGCCGGGCCCGTTCCCCTCGGGCTCTGCCCGGCCCGGGGTCTCCGCCCGCCGCGCGGTTCGGGAAACATCGCGGGACCGACCACGCCGGGCTTTTGCTTCACTTTTCGAGACTTTCTCCGCTCTCCTGAGGGATGGATTATGTAACTTGACGCTGCGGTCTCCGGCGTATTCCCAGTTTTCAGCTGACCTCATTTCAGTGGGCTAAATAAAATAGATGTAATTGGTGGTTTAAGAACTATTTCAGAATTTCCACTGAGCCTGTATGTATTTACTTCTCTAAGCTCTCCTACGTAGCCTATAGATGTGCATAGTTTTCAGGGAAAAACAGTAATTCTCACATATGGAAGACATTAAACAGTCGCTGATTCTGCTTGTTTTGCATTCTTGTGGCATCATTTATTATTTCTAAAAGTAAACATGTGAATTCTACATAAACAATGAAGTTACGGGATTTTCTTTTAATTTCTCTGTAGAGAGTAGAAATATGGTCATGACTGTCCTGCGAATGTGTCGATTGCCAAACAACACAGTAGATAYTTTTCAGAGAAAAAACAGTGCATGTCAAGTATCTGATGAGTCATAAAACCTCAAGTTAGTGTTAGCAGATGTTGGTTACAGCTCACATTGATGGGAAGTACATAATCACCACCCCAATAGCCACCCACTGCCCATTTCTGGTCCAAGAACTTCCCCAAAAGTGTGGTTTCAATTTTATGGAAAGCCTTTGAAATTTGGCACAGGTTTCAAAAGTATGTAGGAAAAAAAAAAGTCTGCCAGAGGTTTGGCCTCCGACTGTGAAAACAGACACTGCCTTTTCAAACTCCTCTCCTAGATCTACTGACCAACACCCAGAAGAGAATTTACATTCTTTTAGAATACGGCAGGAAAATGAAGGTCTGTATGCTCCTGAATTCAACTTTTGGTAGCATTTACATCCTTTGTTTAAAACTGTCAGCTGTTGCACAAGACCAGGCTCTGATGTGAAAATATTTGCTGTAAAGAAAAAGGAAAGGGAAGTCTTTTCATACGTACTGCAGGGACATTTTTGCTTGTTTCTTGGACGGATTACAGCAGTTAGAGAGTAGGAGGATTTAATTATTTACCAGCCATGAAAGCTAACTTCAGGCAATACTAAAAATGTAATTATTGTTTGTTTCTGTTCTGCAGATCCGGCTAAAAATCATATTTGGCGTGGTTATATGCCTTTTGCTTTCCTTATTACTGATGTGTATTATACTGTTTCCATCAAGAGGTAAGGTATTTCTAATCTAATGCAATGTAAAAGGCARTAACTTTAGCTATTGTGGCTTTTAAAGTTCACAAAAGTTTGTCAAATCATCTTTAACATTGTCCTGTCAGAATTGTTATGGCTTTATCATTTTTCAGAAATGTACTGACAGCTGAAATATCCTGAAGGTAGAATTGAAATGCCAGCAGATATTGAAACAAGGAACTCCTTGAAGTGTAAAGCACCTGAATTAACTTTATAGTGCATGATATGTAATGTTCTTAGTCACGGCTGCAAAAATAACTCCCAGATCTCCTCATATTATTTTTCTGTGTTWGGGGTTAGGAGGCTTTCCCAAACTGTTAGTAATTTTCTTCAGCTTGGTGAATTTGCATTTGGTTTTAAATGGTTATGTAATAATTAGAGAAGTTCTGTATCCAATTACAAGTTAAACATCTTCTTTGTAGATGGGATATGATGAATTATTTGTGAATATATTCACGATTACACTTGAAAATTAAAGTGAGCATTGTATAAAATAAGGATAGATAGTTTGCTCTAGTATTATGCCMATTGTAGGTAAGTCAACCCAGTGTGGTCTGCTAAGTGAAGCTTGAAATGAATTTTGAAATTTTGAACATGAGTGGCACTGGCTTAAGGGTAATTGTTTTCTAYGAGATTTGTAGTAAGGGCAATACAAGTATTTACATGACCCTATCACTATAGCAGATTACTTGCATGCCTCTAAAATAATTAAAATATTAATAAAAAGCTTGTATTCCAGTAGCAGCATCTATTTAAAGGATGTATTTTCTATTACTATTACTCTTTTTTCATGTGTGGGCAGGGTGACTGAGACAGAGAAAACAGTTTTGTATTTACAACTAAATGTWATAAAATCACCCATCTGCTTAAGCCTTATGAAAGTTAAGTCCTGCAGTTAACATGCAGGTTTTGTGAAAGGTGAAATCTCTTTCAAATCTGGTATTTCTGTGAAATATGTTTATCATGGGTTGAGAGAAGGGTTGAAGGTTTCTGAAACAGTTAGGGATGATTCTGTTATGCAGCTTTTGAATATGAGGATAGATTATATGAGTTTTATATATATATATGCATATTTATTATGCAGTGCTGGAAGAGATACTCAGAATGACAGGTTTGACTTTTACTGTCAATAGTGGGGTGCTGGATTTTTTGTCTAGCTAAGCATGGTCAAATCTGAGCTTTCACTACAAGATAAATGTATGGTATCAAGTCAGACCTACTATCAAATCTGCATTTTATGACAGGGAAGGCAGAATATTTTAAGCAGATTTAAATAAAAAAAATARTAGTGAGGAAACAAAGAGGTTGGAGACCAAGGATCAGCTCGGCAGCCTGAAGAAGTTGATAAAGATGGTGGAAGGTACTGTAGGAAGAAGTACATGCATTTTCTCCCCACTGAATTTGTCACATACAGCTCACTGGCCTCTTCAGTACGTGAGCAATTATGGACAACTCTTGTGATCTCTCTGGTTTCTTGGAATAGTGACTCGATAACCAGTCATACCAAACATCACATGAAGATGCAGTAGGATGATGAAGAAATTATCTTACTTCACAGGATGCTTTTGGAGGAGTATTTTAGACAATTGTGGAACACTCAGTTATGTCCAACACATAATTATGTTGGATGTGTCAGATTATGGCTTCTTATTCTCAGGTGCATTCTTATTTTGCAAGTGCTGCAGTWACCTGTTTGAATGCCTTAACCTTTTTTAATTCTTAGTAGTCTGGTGATCAGTTGTAAATAGAAGAAATATAAATCAATTTTGCGGTTACAAATTTTACAAGCTGAAGACAGACAGGAAATGGCTACACAGATGGAATGTTGTTTGTACATTCCGCTTTTACCACTGCTTAACTGAAAGGATGTGGCAATCTAGAAGGATAATTAATTGCATATGGGAAATGTATAGACCTGGACCAAATAAATTCCTGCCTAAGAAATCTGCTAAGTCATTTGTCATTTTGAAAGGTCTGGAAGGAGTATTTAGTTCTGGTTTTGTCTGCCAGGTTTCTAGTCATTTCATTCATGATCTTCAGACTTCTCAAAATGTGATAGGTGGTTTTGATTTACACAGGCAAGAGTATAAAAATGTCAAAAATTCTCAAAACTTATACTGGAAAATAATTATTTGGASAGTATGTTAAGAGGGAAGTGCTTGCAAAAGAAGAATTTCTGTGGGGCTCAGAAGAGCAAGGTGGGCAGTCTCAGTGTAGTGAATGGCATCCATGCCTAAGAAATTAACTGACCGTTTTTTGATGGTTTGACTCCTTTGACTTAGGAGTGTGTGGTGGGATTTACTGGACAGTGATAACCCAGCTATGATACTGCAACTCCAAACAGATTAGAAAGGTGCTTTCCACTTGTACACTAGTGTCCCTAGTCCTGTTCTTCTGCCRCATAAACAAGAAAGAAAATACCTATGTACAGTTGAAAAGTAATATTGGAACCACAGGCAGAGTAACAATTAACTGTATGTATTGCTTAGGCTCCAAATTAATCTCTTACAGTATTTTTAATGAATGTCCAAAGTAATTTCTTTCAATATTTCTGTTCCCTGTGTACACTTGGCCTAGGCCTGAGGCCCAATCCCATTTTTTTCTGATGTCAAAGATGAGGTCATAGCGTCTACTGCTGAGCCAGGAAGTCGTGAGCAGCCAGTTGCTTAGGAAGGGCTAGTGTTCCCTGCAGCACCTCAGCCAAATCCAAAAGTGGAAAAGCAGGTTTTCTTGATGTGGAGCTGAGTGCAACCAAAGTTCTGGAGCAGGGTCAGGAGTTCTGGAATTAACTTCTGATACTGAACTGAGTTGTGAGTTTCCTCATGTGGGAGGAGTTTGTGCTTCAGTTACTCATCATCAGCCCACAGAGATGAGACTGGACAGTCTAGTCCAGAAGCAGACAATGATACCATGCTAACTAGTATTCATGTGATATGTCCTCTACTTGATGTTTTGCAGTGGATGCTAAATCAAATATATATGAATTAACATGAATGTCAAATATGTATAAAAATACATGTATGTATACATATATGACTACATATATAAAAAAAMCATATACAGAAACAACAATAATAAATCACCATGGAATATTAAGTGTGTAGGGGGGAGAAGGCTAACAGAGTGAGGGTTTAAATTAGAGCTGTGAAAATTACACCAGTAATGAGAAGTTTGTGCTACTAATTGTCTCTTAAGATGAGAGAAGGAACAAGGTAATTTTACCAGATTAAGGTATCATGCTCCATCATAAAGGACTGAAAATTTTAAGCTTCTATGCATACAACCTTGGAAATATATCTTAACAGGAGATTTTTTTGGTTTTGCTAGTATGCTTTTTCACTTAGACAGTTTTAACTGAGAGATGGTGGTAAGTAATCATCACCCAAAATAACTAGAACTGTATTCTTTGTAATTACCTTTGGTGCATTTTTTTAAGTCTGCCATCTTTTATTTATCATCAGGGTATCAAAGGTCTGTAATATGTAGCAAGAGGAATTAACTTCTTATTGAACTTCTTGGGGTATTTTCTGGACTTAGTGCTAGCTCAGAGTTTACATGGACAGGTTTTTGCCTCTCGATTGGCATTCATTTTTATTTCTTGTGACAGCTTTCTTCTGCATTAGTGCAGACAAGGCTTGTGTCAAGAGTCAACCTGACATGTGTATTCTACGGTAAGTAATAGTCACTTAGCAGAAGAAAATATGTATTATCATTACAAACTACCATAGAAGGCAATATGAAGAAACATTTCCCAGGAAGTCAGYGTGATCTTAACAGAGAGGGCAACTGTAATGAGCAAGTGATGGAGCATGATATGAAAGCTGAGAGCAACGAGTCATCTTGATTATCTGTCTGTGATCTGAAAGCTCTGAAGGAACAATCAGGGGAAGTGGCAGAGATCTACTAAGCTGCTGTGTAATATCTCTAATACCTCTGAAAACCCTGGCAAAAGTCCCTTTGATTTTAAAGGAGAAAGCATAGTGTCCAGAATGCCTAGACCTGAAGGCTGCCATTATTATGCTGCTGAACTTTAAAAATTGGTCTTTATCAAAAGTGTCTACRTGTCTTTTGAGGATTAAAGATTTTGATTACTCTCACTCTTGTAAACTGCATAGTTTGTACACAGGAACTGCACAGCATAATCCTCTTTTCATCCAGTTGGTTGTTCTTGAATTTTGTTTTAAAATGTTCCCTARCTTAAGCTGTTTAGCTTTGGGGAGAAATTTAGCTAGACAAGAGCCAAAAAAACAGCTCAATTTCTTGCATTATTTTAATACAGTTGTCTGACCTGCTTAGAAATCAAATATCTGAGTACCTGTCTTCTTTAGAGAATCATTGTCAGTTTTCTTTTGGAGCATTAAACAAAAAGTTCAAGTTTCAGTTCACTCATTCATTGCTTTTTAGCATTTTTTTTTACCTGCATACCTTCATCCATGTTTTTCATGTGACTACTAGGAAATATATGTGGATGGTGATTACCTTGCAAGCCTTATATCCATCTTCTAACAATGRTTCATGAGGCATGTACAAAATTTGGAAGTAGGGGTTTGTAGGTACATCCCATTTGACCATCTGATGAACATGTGAAGATCTTGATTAAAATAGTTGTCTCTACAAGTTCATGAAACCCATGCTTTAAAAAAAAAAACTACAAAAAAAGCAAGAGCACACAAACCAACCTTTGTTATTTGTGTGAAAATGGTTTATTTGGACTCGCAGGGTCTACAGGTAAATGTGTCTGAGTGAATAAATGACTCAGTGAATAAATTAGTTTGTCTAGTTTTGTATGCCTAAAGATGAGTCTTTCAGAGGCTAAAGGACCTTATCAGAACAGTATCAGAGAACTTCCCTTTCTGCAGCACCTACTCTTTGCATATCTTCAGGATTATGGCATCTTCATTCTTTTGTGCCACTAAATATAGAAAAAAGAAAACACTGGAGTAGTAATTTTTTTTTTTACTTTTCATTAAACAAAACTTTCTGTCTTACCCTTAGTTGTCAACACAGATGATGGCCCCAGAGCTCTTACATTAGACGATTATTTGAATGGAAACTTCCAGTATAAAACATTTTTTCCATATTGGGTGTCAGGTAAGTAAAACCTTTTCTCAGCCATGGATAAAGCTTTCTAATGTGTGTTTCCAGACTGGTTTATAGACTGAGAAGTGTATTTTCTTTCCAGCTTTACTCTGAATGAATGCTAACTATAAAATTAAACAATGTGTTAGTCAAAACTTATGGTTGAAATTTACTATTCTGTCAGTCATTCTAGAAAACCCAGGTATCTGATGTTTCAACAGACATGTCTGAGTCAAGTATAAACTATAATTTTACGGAGGCCTTCAGTGTTTTATTTCTTTTACTGTCATATTCATTGCAGCAAGTGAAAGAAATTTGTCAATGTGTCAGTCATTCCTCAAGCAATCTCCTTTTCGTGCTTTTCACAGCACTTTTTCACTTACCACTTGCAATGATTCAGGTACTCTCACAGGCTGTGTTCTTTGTAGTAGTATCTGGCTCTGCAGTGAGGCCAGCTGTTCTTATCTTATTTAAGGAAATGCTGACASTGCTGAAATTCCTGTGTTCCAGGATATTGCATAGAAAATAAAGTTGAATTTCTGAGTTCCTTAAGGTAGAGACATGAAGTTMATTGCAGCTGGTAAATGTGTTTGTGTGTGGCTGAAGCACTGGTCTTGTTATCTTTGCTGGATCTAGCCTGGGTTGCATTCTAAGGCACACATTTCTGCCACTCCCTTCTATGTGCTGCCTCAAGTACTGTTCTCTGACAGTAGCAGGAAACASAGTGCCCATTCACATGGAGTCTCACCAAGCTACTTTTAGCTTACAGTTTTAGAACTGAAGTAAAGCATTATAGGTCATTGCTTGCAGCAGTTTAAATTTTACAGTTAACATTTTGAAGTTTGTTGATATTACTTACRTGATTTAAAAAATAGGTCATTGTTAGAATTCTGTCTGAATATCTGAAGGATGTAGGCAGCATATCACCTAAACCTAATATTCTTCTTCCCTCTTTATATCTTTCTCACTTAGACTTATCTTTCCTTTTAACAGTCACAAAGCTCGCACAAAAGTCATGCCATAGATTCCATAGATAGTCATGCCTACAGCATTCCATATGTCTACTTCTCTTCTGAAACAAGGAGTTAAAGTTGAGTATCTCATCCTTAGGATTTTAAACACAAATACCCTTACACAAATCACATGAGAGCTCAAAAGATCCAAGRGTGATCTAATTTCCTAAAAATGAACATCTTCACAACGTTTCAGTCTGCTTTTTAACTTTTAGTCTCACTCTCTAGCTACACCAAGTATACAATTTCTTATYGCTGTTTATAGCAGTGAAAATAACAATCTGAAACTAAAATTCTGATCTTCATTCTCTACCAAACGATAGCTCAGATCTTGAGCTTTTACCCTAACATGTAGGGTTAAATTCAATTTTCAATGAAGGCCACTCACCCTCACTTTGTAGGACTTGTGTGAGTAAGGGCAGAGTCATTTAAGCAGTGTCAATCACGTGGTACTGCTGTTACCTGCAGAATATACAATTGACAACGTTCTGGTAAAATGATTAGAAAAGATCCTTTCCTTTAAAACATTTGTATTTTGATACTGACTTTCTAATGGGTCTGTCAGTGGCATTTTTGAACAGACATTGATGAAAATAAAGTCTGGCATTTACTTGTGAAGTGAAATAGCTGATCCTCTGTACTCAAGTACCCTTAAGACAGTTTCTTGATAACTCTGTACCTCAGCATCATTAGAAGAAAAGCATTTCTTATGTAGATGCCAAAAGATATTTGCTTAAAATCTATTCCTTGAAAGAGGTATAAAYACATTGATAAATAGATTTGCTCTGTAGTGTCTTCTGTGAAGGTAACCAACATTTTATCTTGTTTATAAAGATAATGAATATCTTCATCAGTCTGCAGAAGATGATATTATTCTTTACAATGTTGAAATTAATTATGCAACCACCATCATGACAAACAGCACAATGGTATGTACTTTTTTAATCAACAAAAAGGCAKAAAAGTGCAGTTGTATTTCAAGTCCCAGTTTAAAAGTGAGTGAGACTAGAATCTAATCTTATTAATTTTTCAGAAACAAGTTAATGCTTCAAATTATGTGATGTCATCAGACCAATATTTCATAGCTCTGGAAAGCAATTATTCAAAGGTAATTATTTTAATATAGCTCTTGATGAAATGTTTATTTAGTATTTCATTGATTTTGTTTACCATAGATAAATGATTCTTGGTACTTTCTTGRGAAGGGGGTAGGCTGTGAAGTGGCAGCTGATTATTTGTAATTAGATTGTATTTTTCAAAGCAAATAATATTTTCTTGCTTAATTTATGCAGCTGTGGAGATACTCTTATACGGCATCATACCACATTTACGATCTCATAAATGGGTAAGGCCTGATATTTCTTACAGAGAGCTGTGGTGATTACATTGTAGTGATGTGCTTGCAAACAGTCAAAAACTGGTAATGTGACTACCAACATGCTTTGCTTTTGCCTAAATCTATCAGGTTACTTGTTTGCTTAGGAAAAGAAAATGTTCTCTAAGAAAACCATGCATTCTTTTGATCTGGATTTATTTATATTTCATAGCTCAAGATTCTCTGTTTTTTCCTTCTTTGCCTGATTTTATCCCACCCTTTCTTGGCTGCTTGAGTCTGCTTCAGTCTCACACCTGGGAGAAGGGATGTCTCCATGCCCTTCTGCTAATTCGTTCTTTTTATCATTGGTCTAATCTTCAGCTTTTCTAAAACTCTCACATGTCCTTTTGAGGCTTCAGTGATCTTGTAACAGTCCATCCTGCATTCCTCAAAAGTTTACAGCTTCTCCATGGCATTTGGTCTCTTTCCCAAGATTGCCCAAACCACTCCCCTTTCCATCCAAATCCAGAGGAGGCCATCTGCCTTCTGCAGTCACCTTTTTATGCTGTAAGTACCAGCATGACCAAATGCTTCCTAGTTCTGAGCAACAGGGGCTGCACTGAGCTGTGCCATTCTTGGGAAACATTGGCTCGAGGTGACAGGAAAAATTTTCTGCAAGCTAATGTGGTACCACACGTGAGTTATGATCCTTAACAAGTGCTGGACCTGCTGCTGTTGCGCTCAGCTCAGCGTGCTGTATGTATCCTGAGTTCACATTTCCCAGTAACTTACTGAGACTGTAATGCAGACTGCTGGTGGAGCAAATGCCTGTAGTGCTTCTGCAGCATTTGGAATGAATAAGGCTGGCTTCTTAGGCTGTTGAATAGGTTTTCAAAGGATTAAGTTTAAACCTTTGCCAGCACTGGTGCACACCATAGTCTTAAATGCATGTCTCTGCCTGCCTAAACTGTGCATTGCTCGTGAAACTATAAGCACTTAGAAAATAACTTTGTGACTTTTTAGTTAATGTACAGCATAATAATCCRTTTACACTGTGCACAAAAAGCCATCTCAACTTCTTTCCTCTTTTTAGTGGTTTTGTAACAGAAAATCAGCTTCCACATAAAATTCAGTATATATCCTGGTCACCCGTTGGACACAAATTGGTTAGTAAAGATAATTAAGTGCTAGAATAAATTTGCTTTTTATCGCTAAAAGACATTTACCTGCCATTGGGTTTTATTTTTTTAAGGCTCTGATTTTGACATGCCTGTGTTTATTAATCTTGGTTATGAGAAAGAATGGCAAAGAAAACAGTTTTAACTTGTTCAGATTTTACTTGTCTGTTTCTCAATGGCAGAATAATCCATGTTCTCAGCTATGTTATGTTTCAGTTTGCTCACCAGTCTCTTATCAAGAATTGAACAAAATAATTTATATAGGATTAAATGCAGTATCAAAACCTGAAAACCAATTGATTTTCTTTTGACACTTGCAACACATGAATTTAAAATGGAGATTTATGGATGCAATATTTACAATTTCTTCTAAAATTTTTCTTGAACATAAAATTTGGCCTGTAATGTATAGTTTATTTACTGAGGTACCTACCCTTGCAGAATTTACAAGAGCTGTTAGTGTAGCATTTATTTCCCATTTTGTATTCATTAAGTCATCCTAGTGTAATGTATGAGTATTGTCTGCAGAAGATCTTGCTCTAATCCTGTTATTGCCTGTACTCTTAAAACAACTTTCCTGTCTTTAGGCATATGTATATCAGAATAATATCTATTTGAAACAAAGTCCGAGAGAGGCACCAATTAAAATAACTAGTGATGGAAAGCAGAATGAAATATTTAAYGGGATTCCTGACTGGGTTTATGAAGGTAAATAAATCTTGAAGGGCAGGAAGTAACATGATAATTCTTTGTTTAGATTAACTGATTCCGGTTTTCACAATCCTTTCTAAAATATTTGTGATGATACTTTTTTTTAAGCCCTAAGGATTACTTCATTTCCATGTTTCATTTGCTGTACAATGTATGAATTTTGTATTCATAGTTCATCACTAAAATCCTGAGTCCTTGTTACCAAAACTATATCAGTACTCTACAAAGTTGTCTACTTTCTGAGGCAAAGGCAGAGKTTGGAAATTAAGCTTTAATGGAAGTTTTAATTTTGGTGAAAATGAGATACTTCAGTGCTTTCAAAAAAAATTATAAAAAAAAATCCCATGCATGCGGGAAAATCCCAAGTGAGTTAAGCAGGATCTGTGTGCCTGTTTTGAGAAATTTGATGTTATTTAGGTAGTGTAACTGTCTTTACATGTCTAGGTTGCTGAGTAGAATGCTAAAATAGGTTAGAAGATAGATTAGAGTAATAAACTTTTTTTTCCCCTCCTCAGAGGAAATGCTAGCAACAAAGTATGCACTGTGGTGGTCTCCAAGTGGAAGATATTTAGCATATGTACAATTCAATGATTCTGACATACCAGTAATTGAATATTCCTATTTTGGTGAGGACCAGTATCCTAGAAAAATAACTATCCCATACCCCAAGGTATGTTTTATATTCTTTTGATTTACTTTCTGTTGAGAAATGAGTTATGGCAATGAGAAAATTAACTGTGCTTAAGAAATTAAGTATAACCATGATAAAATCCATTGTGGCTTAAATGAGAGAAAGCAATCTTGGTGTAAGTTCTGAAAAGCTGTAGGTGCTTTCAWAATTTTAAATATTAGTGAAATAAATGGAATTGCTCATATAAGCAAAAAGCATATGCAAAAGTACACACTTGCATTGTCAAGCCTTTTTTTCAATTATGTTTACTTATTGTGATGTGTAAACTATGCAGTTGTTATTTTTTATTATAGTAAATAAATTATGAGACTTTCTTATTTTTAAAAATAAAGGCTATGACAGCTTCAGTTTATTTGCTCACTTCATAGTACTTTTTTTATCTCAAGAGGCTTTGGATTTCAATTGCTTTCAAGTACCAGATCTAAGGCAAGAAGATTTTGGGTTGGCTTTTCTTGAGCATCTATTAGAGAGCTCTCCTGACTCTTGTCATGTTCATATGACTGCAAGGGATCATATTAATGTATCTTAAGAATTTGCTCACCTGTCAGCTGGATTACAGTTCTAAAGTAAAACTAGGTGGTTTAGATCACACACGGAGAAGAATTAAAAAGCTGATAACATATTCAATGAAGAAGCAGCCATGAAATCAGTTTAAGCAAGCATTTCCCAGCTGGGATGTCAAACAGCACTTGCAATCCTGTGAATAAATTGGAGTTTTATGCCGAAGTCAGTGTAATGTGTGCTGCAAAGACCCACACTGCAAACAGAACAATGGTTCCCATCAGGCTCATTTTCTGTAGAGAAGGGCACTAAACTTGACTGTTAAGAAGGTTTTCTTTTTTCTATATTAAATGATACAAAATTAAGTATGTACTACTACTACAGCATCACTCTGAGATCTTACGACCATTTGCCCTATTACACACTACTGAATTAATATTTTGTTACCTGTCTACTTTTCTCCAAGAAGTCTTTTGATTTTCCTTGATCTGAATTATTCAGATTTTAATAATGTCATAAATTTTCTTTGAAGGCTGGAGCTAAAAATCCTACTGTTAAAGTGTTTGTTGTTGACACTATTTACTCTGAAGTGTTTGGTCCTAAGGAGGTGCCAGTTCCTTCAATCATAGCATCCAGGTAGTGTGCCCTCAAATATGTCTCTTCTTATTTTAAAAAAAGTTTTGTCTATTGGTTTTAAATGCTTGAACCTCTGACTTGTACTGTTTCTAACAGTGGACTGCCATATTAAACTCCTAGAAGGATCAGAAGCTAAATTGAAGTATTATATTTTGTTTTTGGCTGTCCACATGATACATTGTTGTAAAGGACCAAAAAAAATAAGTACTCTAAAATAGTGGAAGCTTTGCTATTATTTTCCAAAGAGCAGTGTGGGGCATACAATCTGTAGCAAGGCTTCAATAGTCCTGTTTTTTAATAACCACCATTTCTTCCTTTTTTTCTTATATCTTTTAGTGATCACTATTTTACCTGGCTTACTTGGGTAACAGATACTCGAATCTGTGTGCAATGGCTGAAGAGAATCCAGAATTTTTCAGTCTTAGCTATTTGTGACTTTAGAGAACATTCAAATACTTGGGACTGTCCAGAGGTAACGAAGTGGGAAATAAAAATCAAAAATTACTGAAATTAGCATTTGCTAATCCCTGCCATAATTACAYTTTACTGCATTTTATCACAATAGTCTTTTACTAGTAGTGATATCTTTCTCAATATTTTAATTGCTGGAAGAGGGGTTACTCCAAGAAATAAAATCACCAATATTTTCTTTGGGAAGCTTAAATAGCATCTAAAACAACAAAAACCAGAAGAATGCTATTGAGAAACTTTCAGTAATGTTATTTCCTTCTTATGTTAGCATCTTCAAAAGTGGAACCATATAGGATCTGTATTTTTTTWAAAATAATCTTACTATACCACGTTGAAATTCCATGCTAAGTTTGACTAAATCATATCCTTTTAGATTAATGTTAAATTAGTTGAAAAAATATACCCATTAATAGTAAGGCAGGTTTTCAGGAGGAAGAAATTCTTCTGTCTTATCAAATCATACAGGTCTAGACATACTGCCTAGGCAGTAGGCAAGTTTTCAGAAACAGGATCAGATCTGAAAAGGAAACTTCAGGCTAATTGCAACAGTAGCTGTGCATTTTGTTTCAATATGCCATTCTATGATTTAGTCAGTTTAGAAGGAAGACCATGCTCTGTCGAGCAGGGCAGAGCTTTGTAAAGCCTGAAGAGTGTACACACAGATAAATTCATAGATCCTGAAGGACAGACCACCCTGAACTTCAGTAACTCTGTTACAGAGATCTCATTTGTTGTCTTTTAGTATTGATGCTTTGGGCTTGTCTTGTTCTTAGGGTTGATGGTGCAGAACACCGATTAAAACTAACATTACAATGAAACTTCAAACTAATGTGAAGTAAAAAGCAAGAATATTTRTAAAAGCATTCTGTATAACTGATAAATTATACATTCAGAGTTTATTGACACAGGCTTTTCAAGCTGAAAACAATTTTTATTCCTCTCTAATATGACAATCATTGCAAATTTAAAGGGAATTTAAGGTCCTGTTATTTCAAAAACATTGTCATTGAAGCAGTTTCCCACAGAGAAATACTGTAATTTATTTGAAAAAAAACATATTTAATGCAACATTTGATGTGTTTTGTAAGTAATTTTTCCACTTTATAAGTAGGTTAACACTGAATCTCTACATTGCCTCCAAGTGACTTATATTTTAATAATTATGTATTTTAATGGACAGGAAAAAAAAATTAAGGTTTCTAGGATTCTGCCACAATTCACTGAAGTACTTTAACACAAGCTTAACTTTTAGCACATAACCAGTTTTATTTACTTCAGCAGATCTGTTTATGTGTTTAAAATTAAGCATGTGCTTAATTGCTTTGCTGGAACCAGACCAGACCAGACCAATTAACATCTTTCAGGACTGTGTTCATGATCCCTGTTTAATTGCTTTTCTCCATGAAACCTTATTTATGGAGTCACTACTGACGTTTCTATAATTCTATATTTATACAGTGATACAATGCTTTTATCACATTAAAATTTGCACAAATGGCCAATCAAAGTAGTGTGAACAGATGGGAGTGCTGCATTAGCTCTATTTGCCATTAGAAAGTATATCTCTGTGCATTTCCTTTGGCAAAAATAGTTCTCTTGTTGAATCCAGATTACAGGGAGTCTCCAATGTACAATAAACGTGCTATGTTTTATGTATTTGAAAATAATAACAAAATATAATCTACAAGATGTTCCTAAAGTGTAGATTCATCAGAAATGTTCACATGTTCAACTCTTGCTCATGTGAATAGGCCACAGAAACCAATATGACCAGTSGAACTATTCATGTGAATAAAAGACAAGCATGTCTTTGTGAAATTGGAATTTCCTATAAAGATGCCATTTCTCTACTGAAATTCTGTAAATACTTTAATACACACAAAAAATACATAGAAATCAAGGGGACTCAAATGAGAGAAGTTAAATATATCCCTAATGTACTATGTCATCAGGATCTGAGTCTTMGTTTAAAGAAGGGAATATAATGTTAGGTGGCAAGTATAAAACAATACATCCCATTTTTATTACCTTTATAGTAAATAAAAGCCATCTTTTGAGTTAATAGCTCAGTGGAGCTCCTTGCAAAGTACTAAATAGTTTTCTAAAGGACAAATACCCGAAACATTTGCTCAAATCACTGTATGGGGATTAAATTAAAAGGGAGAATATGTGATTCTGAATACTGATGAGATTACACTGAGGATAAGGAAAACAAACCATATTCCTTAGAAGCAAATTCATTAAATTTATTTCATACTGTGAGGAAATACTGTATTAAATGAACAGTATAAAGAAAAGATTGTAAGACTGAAAAAAATGTTGATTGAATGCAGAATTTTAAAATATTTCATCACTAGAAACATTGCAACCAAAACAGAAATAAAAACATTAAAGCATCTTTAGCTGCAGGAGGTACTCAACCTTCATGCTCAGTATGTCTATTTCAAAATCAGCTTTAAGAACAGGATACCTAGTAGTCTCAGGATACCTAGTAGTCATATCATCCACTGTTCTACATCAACATCACAGCTCTGAAATGAAAAAAAATATAAACCAGCTGAAAATCTAAACCAAATTTTTAGTATTAATTTTCCTGATATCATTTTACTTGGATTTTTTGCCAAAAAAAAWAAWGAGATTAAGTAGTTGTTCATTTTTTTCAGTGAAAAAGTTGCATAATTGGTTTAGATTTTATTTAGGTCTGATGATAGCTGTTAAAAAATAATAGTTTAATTAATGTAATGACCTTCAACTAAATAATATTATTTACTTAGACAACCTTCAACTCCCTGAACCTTCATAGCAAGTATTCTAAAATTCTCTTTTGCAGGCAGCTACTGATTTATTTGAAGATTTTGAATCTCCATAAACTCAATCACCTTAAAGAATGTGCATTTGCTTTTGTTTTTCAGAATCAACAGCACATAGAAGAGAGTCAAACAGGATGGGCAGGCGGAGTAGGTTTTCTTGTTGTGTTCTGTTTTAATTCAGTTAAAAGCTACAGCTTCTTGCAACTTCAGATGAGTGTTTTGAAACATGAAGCACCCTTCTGAGTCATACAGCACAACTGCTTAAAGCTGTTGCATTGTAGGACTGAGACTTTTGATGCTGTGCTAGAGCTCACATTTTTGGGGTGCTTGAGGTATCTATATTATCAGTTTAAGAAACCTCACATGACAGTAATTTTTACATATAATTATGAGGAGATGGAATAKCACAGGTACAAACTTATGTAAAGTAGTTTATCCCATTTGAACAGATTAAATAATCTTGTTGCTTTAAGTATGTGTAGTATAATCTGCTAGTTTGATGTCTCATYTACTGTTTTTCTTCCATTGTTTCAGTTCTTTGTTTCCGCTCCATATTTTACATCGGACAGCAGTTCCTACTACAAAATTTTTAGTGACAAAAATGGTTATAAGCATATTCATTATATCAATGGCTCTGTGGTAAGTCAAGCAAAGTGTTCTCCATTGATCTACTGTCGTGAAATAATTCTACAGTATTCAGTAACTTAAATGTCTTGCTACACAGGAGAATGCAATCCAAGTTACAAGTGGAGAATGGGAGGCAATATACATTTTCAGAGTAACAAATGATGCAATGTAAGTGTCATTAAAAAAAAGGTYGTGAGTGTTGTCAGTGGAAGCAGCACTTAATCATTTGAACTCTTCAGATTATAATTAGGTGTAATTTGGTTTTTRTCTGAATCCATCCACAACAAATTTGTATGCTAAGGCCCTGCATAGGTTTGTAAACATGGTTTACTTATGAAAGATTCTTTGCAAATTGCCCTCAATTTTCTTTTTATTTTAATCACCCATCTTAGGGAGACTTATTTAAAAACACTTAATTTAATCATGTGGTTAACGCTCACACAATTTGCAGTTACTTGTCTTTTCATGATCTCTCATTCATCTTACTGTATAGATAGAAACAGCTTACATAATTGKAGAGATTAGCTCATGAGAATTAAGATAGAACTCCTATTTATATGGCTTATGTGTCATCTAATCATAGTTTGAGCAAAGATTTATTAAGATGAAAGGTATATAAGCTTAACTACTCTTCCRTCACATACAGAAATCTCAAAAAGTCTAAATTAACTTCCAAGACAGCTTTTCATCTTGTTGCTGGTTCATAGGTCATCACTTTATGGATTATTTATTAACATGTAAATGAATTTACAGTTTCTATTCAAGCAATGAATTTGAAGGCTATCCAGGAAGAAGGAATATTTACAAGTAAGTGTTATCAACATTATCCTTATGATAGTAAGTTAATAGAAGATGTCTCTGGATTTGTCAATAAAAAAATAAGTTTCAGGGTGTTTAATGTGTAACTTCACAAGCTATTTTAACTAAAGCTTAACCTCAGATTATATCTGACAATTGAGGGGAAATTGCATCTAACATTTAAAGATACTCTTGAGGAAAAATTGATAAAAAAGGCCAAGCATTTATTTTAAAATTAACTGTTCTGAAAATACAGTGCCTGTGTTCAAGAATGTGAGACAGACAAATGTAAAGTTAATTGCAGCAAAATAACCATTGCTTTATTTGATTTTTCTCCTAGAATCAGTATTGGAAGTAAACCTATGAGAAAACAATGCATTACTTGCAATTTAAGAAAAGAGAGATGTCAGTATTATACAGCAAGATTCAGTGAACGTTCTAAGTATTATGCCTTGATCTGTTATGGTATGTACAGCATGGGAGCAAACAGATAATCAGTTGTTCTTCCCAATTTATCAGCACTGTAGTTAATACTGATTATCCCAAATGATTGTTGTGTGAATCATAGGAATTTCACAATAACCAGGAAAGATTTCCAAAAAGAGACTGTCCATGTTCAAAAATTTTGTGATGATGTTTCAGTAAATACAGATATTTTCAGGATTTTTTAATTTTTTCAACAAAAATCTTAGAATTTTGAGAATGAAAAACAAATTTGTGAATGTCCTTCATGTCACAAAACAGATTTTAATCCAGATTGTGAGAGCCATGTTTTTCTTGCAGCAGCCAGAACAGAATTCAGAAACATATACTGTTTKCCAGTTTATGTGATCAAAGTAACTGTGAGAAGCTACTTCAATTGTTTCCCAGTTGAAATTAGTAGGACCTATATSAGCCATAAATGTTGGCTATTTAGCACCTGAGAACATTTTTACTAACTGATTAAGAAAAATTCAGTTCAAGATGTGTGATCACCCACACATCTTGCAAGTGAAACTACTTGCAAGACACAAGTATTAAATTAAGTATTAGCTCTTTTGTAATAGTTAGCTGATTCCAGTGTTGTGAGGTTTCATCCATTGCTATATTCAAAAAAATAAAAACAATGACATCACAATCTAAAAAAAAAAAGGAAAAATATCCAAGCCTTTCCTTTTGTGATTTATTATAAAGTTTACTGTTTTGATTCTGACTGATCAGATGAAAAGTTCCTTAGAACTTCCGTTGAGCAGAGAATCAAATGTAGCAAATAACAACACCTTTCAATCATTCTTGCACAAAGTAGTCAGTAAGGTCGTCACCATATGAAAGGCACTCACCTTCACAAATACAATGTGACATGTTCTCAGAAGAATGCTTCACATTGTTAGTTCTGCATTCACCTTATGTAATCACATCTCAGGTATTAACTAGATGTYACTTCATCTCTCAGGAAGAAGCAGTAGTAGATTTAAAGTTGCTTGTGTTATGTTTGCTAAGCAATGCCTGTATGTATACAAGTCTTTATACACACAGTACCTTATGTATTGCAACAGGGACCAGTGAGTTATGGACTAGGACTAGAGAAAATTCAGATTTGTGTGTCAACTTTGAGCTCTTTAACTCCTATCAGTTATCTCTCAGTGTTAATTTAATACACACTGCATCACCTGTAATGCTTCGAACTGTAAACTGACTTTTTATCATTCTTATGGCAGGTCCTGGGATTCCCATTTCTACGCTTTTTGAGAACCATGGTGATAGAGGTACTGCAAGTATCCTGCAGTATATTGGTATACCCCTTTCCCTCTAATCCAGATCAAGATTTTCTAATAGAATATTTAAGATTGTGATCAAGATTTAGGAYTGTGATCAAGAAGCCTTTCATCTTGTTTGGTATTAAAAAAACTGGTGTCTTTCTAGATTTGTTCATTAGTAAAATCCAAACATGAATGAACACACTGATACCTTTATCTCAGTTCCTAAGTCCAGCACTTTATAGCATCCTGCTGGTTTTCCTGTTTATACACCGTAGATAAAATGAACATGGGCAACTCTTCGTCTGCTAAATTTTGAGTCAAACTTGCTAGAAAATACTATTGTGATTTCCAGACAATTCCTTTCCCCATTTAGATGAAGAGGACTTTCTTTTTCATGAGGCAACACTATCTTATACAAAAGACAACAGTGTACTATTTAAAGTTTACAGTTTGACCTATTGTGCTGTACTAATTAGAATCTGGATCAATGACTTGCACTTCAGCCATCAGTAGAGATGTCAGAGAAGAGYAGAATCTTTTTCAGATGATCAGTTCAAATAATTGCTTCAGACAAGGTGGAATTATTGATACCAAGTGTGATCTTCAGCAARAAACATTCTGAGTCCTCATTCTTTAAATGGCCTGTTAGTGAGGACTGTTTGCAACCAAGCCAAGCAGGAACTTTGTGACTATGAAAGTATTAATTGTTCTGCAGTGGATCTTCTCTCTCTATCCCCTTTTTTCACTAAAAATTATTCCCTGTCTTTAAGCCCTTAGTTCCTGAAATGTTGTGAAAACTAGCATGGTCCTATGCAAAACTTCAGTGATTTAGCATTCCCTTTCTTCCCCAATAATCAGTGGAAATGAACAGGTAGTTGTAATGTCCCTACATTTCAGCCTGCATTGATAATCCACTGTTAACTGAATGCTGTCTGACCAGAAGACACATAAAAAGATAAGTAAGACAAATGCCTCAATATTGTTAAACTAACTTCATCCATGGCAATTCATGTCAAAGTCAGTGAATTGCAATATAATACTATTTAGACTCCAGTAGCAGTTGGTACATCTTATATCCACTTGAAAATACTTGCCAAWGGGAAAGATAGCTGCAATTACGATATGGAAACAGTGTTCTGGTATTTCTTTTGCAGAAGGTTTAAATAGATTTAAAGGTTTAAATACAGTTCATGCATGGATTGATTTTTAAAAAAAAAAAAAAAATTAATCCATTGTTATAGCTCTCTGTTTTTCTTGATTCACTGTTATCTTCTATGTCAAGGCCCCCTATTATCTTATCAAACTATGAATTGCATGAACTGAGTGCTCAACTGCAGTTATGTGTTTCTTAACCTGTCTGCAGGAGAGAAAAGTTTCATGTAATGTATTTTCTTCACTGGTTTCATCATGCCTCCCTCAGCTGTGCTGTTATTCTCAGGAATGAAAACAAATTCAGGCTTCTCTTTGACTTTTTCACTACCTTTTTTGAATTAATTTTCCTTAAGTTCCTTGCTTTCATAATCTCTTCTGTGGTACAAAACTATTTTTAGTAAATYCATTTTCATTGCAGTTGGCAGAATTTTGAAACTCTATCACCCATGAATTTTAGTAGGAGACAGTTAAACTGACATAGATCAGTTTGGAAGTTCCTTCCAGGATGCCTACAAATCAGTTGTGGTAATAGGCAAGTTTCAGGAGATTTGAGGGGAAGGATGGAAAGGGTTCAGCTGAGTTTGCATGAGCACCCAAAGGCAGGATGATCTTTCAGCCATAAAAAACCCAACTTRAATCTGCAAAACTTGTCAAGAGCACTCTGAAAGAACTAATTCCAGTATTACATTTCTGGCATGTCCTAAGCACTATCTAGCTCAATGTATGTTGAGAGAAGAATACTTGTACTTTTTTTAACATTTCCGGAAGCAGAGAGAAGGGAAAGGTAAATTAAAAGAGAAAAATCTCCTGCAGTTTTAAAAGGTTCTTTCATTCTGAAAGGGAACGTAGAAGTCACAGATTTACATTATGTACCATATTCTTTATCTGTCACTCCTGGGAAAAAACAGGAAAAAAAAATAAACAAGTATGACCCAGCGGATTCATAATATGTATTTCTGCAGTCTGTGCTGTGAATTAACTAAATAGTAAAATTGTGTTAATTAACTTTAAATAGTAAAATTRTGTAACTGTAATTTTGGTCTAAAGTAAAACAATGCATGTTAGTACTATTTAGATTTCAAAAAAAAAGGAAAAAAAAACAAAAAAGGTTTACTAAGTTAGCAGTAATATATTACTAAGGACAGTTAGATGGTAAGTTTGGTGTCTTTRTGTAGGAATGTATCTCACAGTGGTTAAGCAAAGGTTTGCCATAACCCCTTGAGAAAGTCRATTTCCTGCATTCTCAAGAAACAAGATATGCCCTGAGGGCTGTGTGCTTAGCCAGGCTGCCCAAGGGTCTCAGAGGTTAAGCTGATGTTAGGATAAGCAAGAGAGGACATACAGGACTGTGTTTTGCWCAATGCAATGAATTTTGCATTTCTAACTCCCACCATTTTACAAAACCGGGATGAGGGCTCTGCAGGAGAAAGCTGTTTCTTCATAACATGCGGGACTCTAACACTCAGAGGCAACATGTGAAATGATTTGCATTGCAAAATGTACATCCTATAAAAATCTAACGAGTATTTGTGCACTGCAATACCAGTGCTTTTCTTTCATTTAACTGTGTGATCAAGCCCAATTAGAAGTGTCTGAGTAGATTTCATTACTCTGCTTGTAAAATTCACAGATTTCCTTTCTGTTCTAATAACACWAAATAAAGGAATCTTAGTTTCTGAAGAGAAATGTGCAATAAATCAGTTAATAATTCAGGCATTTCTTTTACTTAGAGCTCAGAGTATTGGAAGACAATTTGGAATTACARTCTGCTTTGCAAGAGATCAGACTGCCAAAAGAAGAAATTAATAAGCTTGAAGTGGATGGTATAAGTAAGAATTACACATCATTATTGTACTTTTTAGTCCTACTGTTTTAATGTTTTGCCTTAATTTTCTTATAGTGAAGTATTTTTTCCGTAGAGCAAAGTTGTTAGCATGTCAGACTGGGAAGAAGAGGCCTGGTTCTGCCCTGTTCAATAGCAGCTAATTTGTCTAGGCCTCAGGGTATGTCTCAGTAAAATAGTTAAATCCCATCTCTGTTTCACAATGCTTATTTTAAGCACCTCAATACTGTTGGTAAAGAGTTTAAGTATTGTGTAGAAACAATATATGATGGTAATACAATGTGAAATGTAAACTGCTGTTCATGGGTTACACATGATACTGTCTTGCATGTACTGTTCTTTCCAGTAGTGACTTTACCGATAGTATCTCATGGTAATAAATCAGTGTAAAGTTTCCAAAACTAATATCTGATAATCTTACAACAGTTACACTTTCCTAGGCACCTGGAAAGACTGAGAACCTAGACTTTTGTGAAATTATTTTATACCTAGCTGAATTAAAGTAAATGTGGATACTTTATTTTCTTCAAAGATTTCTTCAACAGCTCCATATAAATAGTTAATTGTATCGGTTCTGTGATTCACAGTTCATGCATTGTGTACTAGATGCTGATTCATGTTTACTGTTTGACCAAACTCTGGATTGTGCTTAGAGGAATCATTTCAGCCATTAAGATATAATTTTGTCTTTTCCAGCTTTGTGGTATAAAATGCTTCTACCTCCACARTTCGATAGATCCAAGAAGTACCCTCTGCTCATTCAGGTGTATGTAACTCTCCCTTTTTTGAACACTGTTGTTTCATTAGAAAATATACTTTTTATAATTTAACAAAATGTGAGACATTTGCAACATTTTACAAAGCAAAAGTTAAACTACTTAGTACTGTTTTGTTGTGGATTTTTTGGATATACTTCTGGGATAGAAATTCCCAATGGAGATCGATAAGGATTTTATTGTTAATCTTAGCATAGTAAGGATTACTTTCTCGGAGAAAGAGAAGGGCTAAAATCATGAGGTCTATTCCTTGTAAATCTTAGCTCTGTTGTAGCTTCTGTTTATCATGGGAGGATTGTAAATCTTAACTCTGTTGTAGCTTCTGTTTATCATGAGACAATCTGAAAGGATTGATTTCAGCTTTGCTAATATGAAAAATACAAGAGCCTGTTTCATTTTTTAAGGAAAAAGAAAACCCAAGCCATGTGGATTGCCTTTTTTAAGAACATTTGACATAATTTATTCCAGGCAGAAAAGGCAATAAGAATTGCAGTGGTGAAGGAAAAAAAAAAAAGTGCAGAAAGGAGAGCTGAGTGGGTGTAATAAATTTTACATCATTTTTTATTAACCAGTGATGATGCAAAGATCCAAGAATGCTAAGTATGTTTGAAGTTTAGAGTAGAAGAGTCCTGTCCTTGAGGTCAAATGGATAATTTGCATTAGGCCATTCTCATGAGGAGTGTCTCTGCATTGCTCAGCCATGTGGGGTGTGTTCTGCCCGCAGCTCCAACAGCACATGCTATTCCCTACTGAAACAAATAAGGTCTGGGGATGGCCAAAAAGTGTAAGGAGCTTTATTTTTTTTTCTTGTTTTCTTTGGCATTACTGACTGCATGTGGAAATCAAAAGCTGAAAAGCAGAAAAGCACCATAAGGGGCTGTTACACCTAAGGAATTTGAAGAGAGGAAAGAATTGAATCTTTGAGGGATGGCTCTTCCAAGGATTCCCCTTAGGACAAGCAGCTGATACTGCACCCCTTAGTCTGAGCTGAAACTAATTATTTGCCTTAGGAATAAGACCTAAATGTTTAAAATGGATTTTAGACATCAAAATACCATGAGTACATGAAAATTGTGGTTGAACTGTTTGTCTACTGAGCTCTCTGAACCAMAGTCATGTAGCAAAATAYATGTGGAGAAAATGTTAGAAGTACYGACAGTTACAGTCCAGTATCCAATAACCACATACAAATTTGTAAGGATGAGTTGAAAATTTTTGAATTTCCATCCTCAGGTATGGGGGACCTTGCAGTCAGAATGTAAAGGAAACATTTAGCATTAGCTGGATAACCTATCTTGCAAGCAAAGAGGGAATTGTCGTTGCTCTGGTGGATGGCAGAGGGACAGCTTATCAAGGTGACAAGATTTTGCATGCAGTGTATCGAAGACTGGGAGTCTATGAAGTTGAGGACCAAATCTCAGCAGTGAAGTAAGTAGACTATCTCCCTGTATAGCTGTTGTATTTGCATACCTAGAAACAGTAATATGAAAAGAATAGTAAATTCTCAGCCTTTCTTCTCAAGAGCTGAGTTCTCCAGGAAATAAGACAAAAACACTTGTAAAAATAAAATATTAATGTTTGCTTGATGTCAGAGGGGTTTTGTCTGGTATATTAAGCCCATATACCACTAAGTCCACACTGGACCTCACCACTTGTATCGKATGCAAGAATCATCAGAGGCTTCAATCCTAAGCCTAAGGAAATACAGTTGTGAGTGGTGAGAGGTAAGCCAATTATCCATTTTTCTGAAGTTTTTTTCCTACTTCAGTGACCATAGGGTTTAGCACCTCACTGATAAGCTAAAAGTCAAATGAGAAGTTTGTAGCAAAACTGAACCTGACACAAACATTCTACAGGTCAGTTAGTCACAAACTCACATTCTGTGCTATTGTAGGATAGTAAGTACAGTTGAAAGTGCATGGGATCCCCTGATCAGTGTTCCCCAATTTCTGCTCCTTTGCATCAAAACACTTGAAAGTGTTCCAAGGGAAAACAATTCCCTGTGCAGAGGTTTTGGGAGGGAGTGAAAGCTGAGGATTGTAGAGAAAGACTGTCTGTTAATCTTACAATGCAATARCACTGCTAAAGGGAGCATTTGAAGAAGTGTTAGTTTGAACCCCATAGAGATGACTGCAAGGCAGGAATTTAGCCTTTGGTCTGGAATTTGGCCTGTCAAAKCATGGATAGATTAACAGGTGAAGTGTAAATACCGTATCTCCTCCAGACTCGACTGAGTATCTTAGCTAGAGTTTAGAATTAGCAACCCAGGTTTTCACAGCTTTCTCTGCTTGTTTGAGAGCCCTGCCTGTACTTACAAGGGTGTATGAAGAGGATATCTGTTCCTTCTTCTTTCTGCTTTGTGATAATTCATTTCCTCTTCAATGTTATAAATACAAACATATTTTTTCAGTGATAAATGAAACAGAATTGCCATATATCATGTCAAAATTTTCTATTATTCTATTCTTTTATTTTCTATCTTGAAACTTCTAAGAGAAGTGGCRTATTTTAAAATATCACAAGAATATTATTCTGAATCATCACTCAGACATAAAATATCATAGAGAACCTAAACTGATTCTGCAGTTGCAAAATCTGATGAGACAGGCCATGAAAAAATGACCTCAGACTTCACACTTCCCAGTTTTCTGTCAGCACCTAGACTAAATTTTTATTCAGTTAAATGTAGTGCATTCCATCTTYCTGATCTAACACATGGTTTAAGACACATGATTTTTAGAGAGGTTCTATACTCAAGCGGGAAGTTCTTGGAGGGGCTGTTGATGTAGGTGGAGCCCCAGGGATTAAGACAGTAATATAACAAAGCTGAATCATTTTTGGCTTTTTRACTCTGTCCCACCTATATAGTATCCCTCATTTTGGTGTTGTCAGTCTGTTATTCTTGTCCTAGTAAATAAGGCTAGTATGTGTCCAGGGATGAATCTGAACYGATTCTGTTTATCTGTCACTTTCAAACCTTTGTGGTGTTTTGCCTCCTCCTCTTCTCTTTGCTGTTGCTAATACATTTTTACAAATAGAGTCTCCACACTCTGATCCAGGATATTTGTAGAAGACCTAATAGTTATGGTTCTCTTTGGCCTGTTTGGCTCCTGAGAGTGCAGAGTGCACCATTCATACATTCCAAGCTTTTTACTTACTTAGAGCATTAGTAGATGATTCCTTTACTTTTATTTTTTATTCAAGTAGCCAAATGAGCGTTTTACTTTTCAGGTACATAAAAAGAAAAAGAAAAAAAAGCTTTTTTTCTCCTGGGAATCCCTAAACTCATCTGAAGTTGATACTGTTGCCCTTGAGAAATCAAAGTATCAACTCACTGTGACACCAGTATATTGCGCATCTTGTATTCTAAAGTCTGAATGTTAATGGTAATCCAGCTCCTATGGCACTCAAGCAATGAAAACGATCCTCATCAACTGGAATAAAATTATTATGATGGAAGTATTCATTTCAGTATTTTTTTATTCTKTCAGGAAAAATTCTTCCTTCTCCCTTTCAACACCTGTTGATTAAATAACTGATGCTTTGTGGGAATCAAGCATGCTATGTTAATTGTCTGTTTGCTCAAATTGGCAGGAAATTGGAAAAAAGTGAAAGAAAAATTATTTTTTTGCTGATTTGTTTACTAGCAATTTTTTGTAATAGTGCATTTATTTCTGTGGTTTTATTTTCCTCAGAAAATTTATAGAAATGGGCTTTATTGATGAGAAACGAATAGCAATATGGGGCTGGGTAAGTGGAGTTTTTCTATCTATCTTTAAATAATCCCGCAGTATAATTTTTTAAATTTTTCCTTGTTCTATCTTAAATATGTATAAAATTTCTTCTGCCCATGTGTGATGGATTGCCAAAGGGGATGGTTCCTGCTAGTACTTACATACATGCAATTGCAAYAGTGCAAGCCCCCAAAAAGGAATCTTTGGCAACTCAAGAGGGAATTTTTAAAAGCTCATGTCTAATACATTGTTTGGAACTTGAAGTTAAGCCAAACTGAAACATTTTAATTGGCTTTACTTTTAACTTAGAGGCTTATTGGCATGGTGTCAAAAATTCAAGTATTGTCCTTTCTGATCTGAGATTAACATTGTGAGAAAAGTCCTACGACTATCTCTCATCAGAAAATGTGACCCCTGCATCATCCTGAATCATTGTACTTGGCTGGCTTTGCAGTGGTCATCAGGCACGAATCTGGGGTTTACAGCACTGACAGCTTCACCAAGTGGAAAAACTGGACAGTATAGGAGTCATTCCAAAGTATTAGCCAGTCTACTTTTCGTCTTTGTTTTTTTTTTTTCCTGTATTTTGCTTTGTAATGCTCCCAGAACCTTTAATAGCCAGATGTATTGCCTAACCTTAGACAGCACATGAGCAGAGTTGCTAAAATCTTTCTGTGAAGGTTCTGCCAACCAATATTTAAGTTACTTTGGTCAGACACTACTGTAACACCAGAATAAAATGGGTACCATATGGTGAAGTTAAGTGGCACAGACACTTAGAAGTGAACAATTCTAAAGAAACATTAGGTAACTTAAAGCCACAGGAAAATATTTTGTTTTTTAAATCACATCATATTTTATTTCACCACAGTGTTTCCAGAACCATCTAAGAGTTTGCACACGTCCAAAACATTGTATCCCAGTAGTGGATATAATATTAAAAATAAGGTACTACTGCCAAACCTATCAGGTTTTTTTTTTTCCATTTTTTTCCAATTTATTATACCATTTCCTGGTCTGTAAGCTTTGAAAGGAGTTGAAAGGTATTTCCTTATTTATAGGCTGCAGCTTGGCATGTGTGAATGAACTCGTGCTTTCAGACTCACCAAACTCTTCAAGATGCCAATAGCTCTAAAATAACCACTAAAGCAGTTTGGGTTGTGAACTCTGTCTCTCAGGCTCTYGTAGTAGACAGATTTATCTGCCCAATCCTAATCCCTTACTTTTTAGCCTTGTGGACTGAGTTTTTGAAAGATCAAATGAGCAAATCAAATGAGCTGGAAATATTATATGAATTACTGTTTCTGTTGTATGTACCTCACTATCATTTCAAGCTGGAATGCCAAGAGGAAGGATGAACTAAATTAACAACTTTTTTTTGTACAAAAAATATATTTAGTAGTTCTGCTTATTTCCCTTAGTCTTCCTTATGCTACTGAGGTAATCTTCAGAATTTTTCATGACACACCGTTATTTTTATCCCTTCCTCTATTCCAAAGTAAACAGAAACCCCATTATTTTACAAAGACCTGATATGAATTTTTCCAACCTCAATTCCACATTCTGGAGAGAGCCAAACCAAAGGCTTTTTATTTACATTATTTTCCTGTCTCAGCAACTAGCCCCACAATTTCACAGATCTATTCTTATATCCAGACTTACTTATTATGTTACCCTACTTATGGCCATGAACTTATTCTTCGTTTCTGGGTCCCAGTTTGAGGAATCGGGCCAGAAAATAATAGGAACAGTGGCAGGCAGTAGGGAGGAATTTCTCCATCCTGAAGTAGATATTAGTACTGATGACTGAGTTGGTTCAATATGCCAATCTTAAGAAAAAACTCAGTTGTTTGTTAAGGGAGGGAAACACGTATAACACTTCTTGGAGGAAAAACATAACTCTTCTTCAATGCCCCTTATTATTGAAAGGATAAGGTGCGGTGAAAACAAGTTACAAGAAAGGAAGTTTCCTTTTGGTTTTAGGAAAAAAAATATGACAACAGTGATCACTGTTGAAGCAGATTGATTAGAGAGGATGTGTACTATGGATGTGACTGCAGTTGGTATCATTTACAACTGAAGTTAGCCCTGTTTTGAGTTATAAGTTGTTTTAGATTACTGTGAAAGATGCTACCAATTTAAATTTCTCTATGATTGTAGGTGGTAATAAGAGCACTATCCTGTGATAAACATTGAAGAAGTATCAAAAAAGAACAGATTCGATAAAATTGTCTGATCTCACAAGAAATTACATCAGATCCATTTGAAATCAATAAATTAATTTTTTTTTAAACCCAACCTTTTGTTACTTTGTCCTCCATGCATTCAAAGCAAAACATTTTGATTGGAATTGATTATATCAATTTGATTCAGAAAACAGAATGATACTTCACAGTAATTTTAAACTGTCTGTGATTTCTTCCTAGTCCTATGGTGGGTATGTAACTTCTTTGGCACTTGGATCTGGCAGTGGAGTATTTAAATGCGGAATGGCTGTGGCTCCTGTCTCCAGCTGGGAATATTACGGTATGGAAACTTGACATAAATACTGACTTGGAAAGCAAGATGTAGCATTTAATGACTTCTTAAATTAAATCATTGCAGGAATCTGGTGATTTGAAACATAAAGACATTCAAATTACCTAGATATAAAACTCTTAAGTTCAATGTTTTCCTTGCTGAAAATAACTGACTGCAACCGGCAGTTTGGAACTGACTTTGTCACAAAGAAGGTATGCCTGGATAATTCCATATGCACTTCTGTAACAGTAAATGTATAAAGCCCCTCTCAATAAACTCCTATTAAGGAGTGATCTGCCTAAAAATCCTGTTAAAATGTTATCACTGAATTCAGAAACAGCCGAACTGATTTATCTGCCAGTAATGGAATCACAGTACATTTCAAATTCAGATACCACTGATGACCTCTGTCAGGAATCAGTGTTTCTGATGACTGCAAAGTTCTTTTCCAAAAGCACTGGAAAAGAGAGGGAGTGTTATGTTTGATATGATTTTTTTTAAAATTGAATACTTTTCCCTTTAAATATTTCTCAGCCACACCTTCTGTATTGGTGTGTTATGATACATATTTTTATTTATGTTTATGAAATTAGGCTCCCAACTGTTGAGAGGAAACAACTCTGGGAGTACATTCCCAAGATCTTCCTGTGTGAATTAAGCAGGCACATAATCATACTTGCCGACCTTTTAAGCTTTTGGCATGGTGTAAAGGAACCTTAGTGTAAAAAAAAAAATCATGGCATGCATGTATTCAATGAGTAAAATGTAGCACTTTGAACACATTTACTTAGCATATGGTCGTTTTCTAAGTCTTGGTTATGAGAAAAATTTTTGGTTAAATGGGAAAGATTCCTTCCCTGACTGCTAGCACAGACATTCCTTGTATTTGTGGTGTTTTGCAAACAAAAGGGAAAATATTTGTATGACACAGGAAGCATAGTCTTCATGTTTTCACTGGCATCAAGATTTTTTTAAGACATTTTTACTCATGATAGTAAAATTATTTCCAGAATGCAGGCGTAAAGCACTAATTTTGCAAAAGTCCCTTAATAAAAGCAGAGTTATAAAAATTTGTGGAATCATTAAAGATCAAATGAAGTTTTTAAGTTGAAGTAGATTAAACACACACCATTGCAATCTTTACTTCAACTGAATTTTCAGGAGGGAATTAAGGAATCTTGCTGAAAACACATTGTAAAATCCAAACAGGCAAATCTACCTCCACTAAGGAAGGAAGGAAACAGAAGGAAGTCATGACTCATAAGTTTTGGCAAACAGATTATGTTAACATTAGGGTGAACTGTGTTAGGGGCAAAACTACAGGATGCTACATATTTGAGTCTCTGAGTAGTGTCAATATGTCAGAGGACATGCTGGCCCCTAGAGCTTCTAAATTCTGTCTGACCCTCTTTTAGATGCATGGACAAGATTGTGGACCATAATATTTTCTCAGAAGCTGTCCCCCCCCCCCCCCCTCCATTTTGAGTCAGAACTAATAACAGCTGAACAGGTATAAGATGGAAAGGAAAATTCCATTCAGAAACATTGTATAGTTAAAAGCATTATATCTGTGGCTGTTTTATTAAAATTTATTTAAATTCAACCGCTTTTCCTTCCTCAATAATTGACAAGCGGAATCTTCCACTTAGTCATTATAATGCAATTCTGCTGACCTCTGTGGACTTGTTGTAGTTATACTGGTAGAAGAGAGTGGAGAAATTGGCTCAGAACACTGTAGAAATGCCAGCCATTCAGAAAGAGTCTATTTTATTGAAAACTTAAKCCCAATATGGTTGCTTGACATTGTGTTGACAACAGATATTGCACATTTTCTGTTTTCATGTAATGATAAAGGATTTTGATAAAAGATAGACTACTTAAGTTTTTGTGGTGCTCAGTCTATTACACATTATCTTCAGAAGCCTTGCTTGGCTGATCTGGGAGATATACTATGCATCTTTAGCACTCAGCAATACCACATGTAAATGATACAAAATAAACCATGGGAACAAGAATATATTGATTAACTTTCTTTTCCAGAGAGGATTCTCATTTGTACTTTTTAATGAGATTTTTCTAATTCAATGTATCAAACTGGTTTAGGTAGACAATCCCAATTCCTTAATGATTACAATGGCCATCACCTCTCTTTTGAGAGGGAAAGATGACAGCTCTTCTTTGTCAGAAAGCCCTGACTCTGTTAAATAAATAAAATTCTTGTAGTACTGCAGCTTGACTGCTCAATATGTGTCAGTTACTCTTTCGAGGCAAGGTCATAAAGACAGTAATGTTCTGGTAGTAACAGCTGCTGTGTCAGTTTCCCATAAATTTTCATAACAGCTCCTAGTTAAAATACAAATACCGAGGCAGCTCAAAGAGAGATGTTTCTATTAATTTCTTGGTAATACATACTGTTCAGTTATTCACATTTATTTTGTCRAATCTGTTACCAGKCTTTGTTGTAGTTAAAAAAAGGAATTGAACAGAGACCTGAATAGAAATGGGGCCACCTTTTCAGTTCATGTCTGTATGCTTTCCTGCTCCCCCTAGTTGTTGCATATATACATTTAACAGGAAAAGGACAACAGGCATATCCATATTTACTGTTTATACATAAAAATCCTCAGCTCTTCTTTTTCAGGTGTCAGAATTAGTCTGTGTCATCTTTCCACCATGCACCTTTATTGGCTCATTGCCTTATTCAACTGACTCTGGATTCAACCCAACAGCATAAAGCAATATCAATTAATTACCTTTATCCACAAAACGTACAGATGAATATAAAATCACTATTTCTGCAAATACGATTTGGAGAATAAAATCACTATTTCTGCAAATATAGTTTGGAGAGCAGTTAATAATTAGCCTTCATAGTTGATTTTTAAAATGTTTAAATGTTTAAATTTGATGTATTATGAGGAAACCAAGCAGAACAGACAGAGTTAAACATAATTCAATTTCCTGTGTCACTTAAATATCTGCACTTTCTTTGTCTATAGTTTTTTTTGTCTTTAATTTCAGCCTCTATCTACACAGAACGATTTATGGGTCTTCCTATAGAGTCAGATAATCTTGAGCACTACAAGGTGAGAATTCTGTTTTGTGCTGATCTGCCTTAAATTTGAATCAACTTCCATAGACAAGTAGAACTGTGAAGAAAGAAGGTGGCCCACCAGCTCTCATGGTTCTCAGCTGTTCTTCACTGAACTCACTCTCTAGACCTTTCCCCAGGTCCGTTGCCCTTCTCAGGACACATTCCAGCACCTCAATGTCTTTCTTGTAGTGAGGGGCCCAAAACTRAACACAGGATTTRAGGTGTCCCTCACCAGGGGGCCAGTACAGGGGGATGATCACTTCTCTGGTCCTGTACTTTTGGTACAGGCCAGGATGCCACTGGCCTTCTTGGCCACCTGGGCATGCATTGTCTCATGTTYGGCTGTTATTGACCAACACTCACAGGTCCTTTTCCACCACAGTGTTTTCCAGCCAGCCTTCCAACATGGCCACTAGTTCTGTATGGGGTGACTGTGACCCAAGAGCAGGACCTTTGCCTTGTTGAACCTCAGAYAACTGGCTTTGGTTCATTGGTCCATCTTGTTCCGATCCCTTTGCAGAGACTGATGTATATAYATATACAGCCATAAACATGGCTTCTCTCTCTTGTAATCTCAGATTGATATGAAGTCACTGCTGTCATGTCAGTCCAACTGTTTGATTGTTTTTCTACTAGGTAATGAAAGCTTTTCAGCACTGTGAATGAGTGGTTTAAATTGAAGTTGCTGAACTGTTCTTTTTTCCTCTCAACAGAATTCAACTGTGATGGCAAGAGCAAAGAATTTCCAAAACGTAGAGTATCTTCTCATCCATGGAACAGCAGATGGTGAGGTTTGCAAATGGCAGAACAAACACAGAGCCAGAATCACTTTGTTTGAAAAACATTAAGCATCTATCTTTGATTGGGTCAGGACTTAGATCTTTGGTAGATTTCCATATGACCTATCATAAGATGCTTACGCATTCTTAGTAATGTCAACTGTATCACTTGATAATTAGTGGACACAGCTAAATGCACTATAACTTCATGCTTTGGTGGTATTAACACGTTTCAACAGACAACCTCTTTTTTTTCCTTTTTCAGATAATGTACATTTTCAGAACTCAGCACAAATTGCAAAAGCTCTGGTTAATGCACAGGTGGATTTCCAGGCAATGGTAAATAATAGACTATTTTTCATTTTGAAAAGTGGTTCATAACTTCATCAAGAAGCTTATCTGACATTTGGCAGTGTTTTAACAGCCCTGTTCAACTGAACATACTTCAAAATTTGGCAATTGCTAGTGCATTTGTTATTCTTCATAAACAACTTCTCAATTTCTTCCCCAAAGGATTTGTCTGCTCTTTTTTTTTTAATTTGCCCTTTGGATGCTASCAGGATTTTCCTCTTGTCAAGAATAACTTGGAGGCTTTTAAAATGAGCCAGGGAGAGGAATAAGAATCCAGCMTCTTTATGAATGTTTTCGATACCTAGTAAAAGAGAGAAAGATGAAAGAGCTGGCTTCTGGGGCCAAATCACCATGGGCTGTGGTAGATTATATCTTGAATTGGGCTTGCCTGCCACAGGCACAAAATGAARCAAGCAAAAAAGGTGTAAGGTATCCAAACTGTATATCCAAAATTGGCAAAAAAAAATGTTCTCTGAAAGACTTGTATGGAGTAGCAGGTACAGGCAAAGAGATAAACACATAGGCAAGAGGTGCAGGATACAAAGGAGGAATGAAGAGGGGAAATCTGGTTCTGAATTATATGCTAACCTCTGCTTCCAAGCCATTTTTCTCAGGGTTAATAACCAAAGTGTTTGCCTGCTATCAAACATACTGGTCTTCTGCCCAAGACTGGTTTCACAGGGCCATGAACTCCCCAAAAAGAGATCACAACAGCGATTTCCCAGTACTTGGATTTGTATGTCCTTTTGTGTATTACATATTTTCTGCCTCATTCACTGATATTTAGCAAATCTGGGTTATTTCTTAAGTATCGGGAATATTGTATGACCAGTTGTGGTCATTCTGGTTCAGCTACAGTGGAAAGGCAGRTATTTCTGAGTTAGTATAATTCATATGTGTGTTTTATTTCCAGTACACTATTCACAACTTAGTGGCTCTGCTGTAATGCAGGATGTTTTGAATAGAATTCAAACAACATTTATCTGAAATGTTGTTGCTTAGAGGCCAATATTTATTCCTAAGCAAGATTCTGACCCGTATTGCGCAGGCCTTGCAGCCGGTCCAAGGGTATTTCATCCCTAGTGGCCACTCAAGGCTCTTTTGCCTGACTTGATACAAGTAAAGCTGTAAGTACCAGCAGTAATGCTTACTCTTAAATAACAGAAGGCTTATAAACTTTTTTCTATCAAGAATATTAATTTACTGGGAACTGATGGAAACATAATTATCAAGTTCCTCCATTTTCTTGAGCCATCCATTTTCTTATGTACAGTAATAAAATACATTTGTTGTATTGTTTAAATTCTCGGAGAATTGAAAACATAACATGGGGGTTTATGTTTTTCTTCTTTTTTTCTTTCAGTGGTATACTGATCAGAACCATGGAATTCCAGGGCTTTCCAGCAAACATCTCTACACACATATGACCCACTTCCTCAAACAATGTTTTTCTTTGTCAGGATAAGYAGGCTACTCAGAGCATGCTAAGGCATCTGAGACATCTCTGGGACACTGCAATGACAGCACTGCCCAAGTTGTATAGTTTTCAGGTGAATGGATCACAGGAACTTTGAAATTCTAAACTTGATGTTTACATCCACTTTTGATAATGTATATTTGCAAATGTTATGGTAAAAAATGTTTTGACACATTTATCATCTGTTTGACAGAAAAAAATAAAGTCAGAATGTGAAAAAGGTCTTGTGCATCTATTGCCAACTTGCTTAAGCTTGCATTCTGCAGTCCAAGAAGGGTGGTTCATTGCAAATGCACACTATCAGAATATGATTGCATTCATTAACTAGAACTGTAAAATAGGAAAGGACAAAGGAGGCAGTGCAAGTACCTAATCAGCATCCTAACAAGAACCAGTTTCTCAAAATTTATTTCCAACTTTTTGTAAATAATCTAGGCATGGATAGGAATACACAGTGTTTAACACTGAAGTTTGGATACTTATTGAGAGTATTGAATGATGTATTCAAATTTTATTCAACTCTTATGAAACCTTGATTCTGCAAAACTCTGAGTATTTAGGTTTAAACATGAAAGCAGGACATTCATGATAACTATTTCTATCAGTTGTTTTTGTACCTGTATTCAAAGTGTGTGAGCCATACTAATCTGTTTTTAATTTCTGATCATCACCTCAGCATTCAGATTGATCTCAATGTCATTCATCCCAGACTGGAGGGGAAGGATCAAAGAATTGTGGAAGCTTTTGCTGCTTTGTTTCTATTGAAACTATTTTAGAGAGTCTTTTCAAAATGCTAGAAGCTAACAATGATTGGAACTTGTATTCTTTTGATTAGTAATTAAATCAGTCTTGTCATAATATAAGAATATTAACGAGAAAATTGGGAAGAGATCCATTGCAGATTAAACAATTCCTTGGTCATGTGTTAAAAAAATTCTGAATTAGTCTACTGCATAAGAATGATGGTCTTTCTGACACAGTATCTMATCTCTGCTATTAGCTGTTGAGAGTACAAAATAACCTGTAATAGATTGTCTTACCTTCCTACAAWACAAGCTGCTTCCTAACTCTCAGTCAGAGATCAGTTGCTGGTTCTTTGTGTAAAAGCAAGGGGTTTCATTTGACTTCCTTGACAAAAACATGGGGTTTGGCCAAAATAATTAAAATGTGGAAGTGATTTGCTATGTAACAGCTTCCTTCGTTTGTTAATGGCAATATCAAATCTGATTTTCCACACATGAGAACATTCCTTAGMTACATCTTTATGTAAATGTAGTTGCCAAGCTGTTTGTAATGGTTAAATTATACTTTGATGGGAACTCTTCAGAAAATACTCAATTAGTTCAGGTTTTTTTGGAAATGCTGCCAATTACGTGACGTTAATGAGCTTTTTGTTGGTAATGTAATTAAAATTCAACTGCTATAATGGCTAAAGGAAAAAATTATAGCTGTAAGAAAGTTAACATTAAGCAAATATAACATGAAGTGGGCCTAATTAGATGTTGATTATATGGTCCTATGTGCATTTGCTGCAYACAACAGTAGTCTCAGAAATGTTATCTTAAAAATAAGGAATACAATTCAGYTGAAATTACTGAGATTTAACCCTCAATTTCTTATATTGATACAACACCATGAAAAACATTGCAACATTGTGGTGAAAGAGAGAAAAATCAAGCTCTTATCCAAGATGTGTAAAGGTTTAAAATACCTAAATATGTCAATGAGAACTTAAGTGGAATTTCCAAAAAAGCATGGTATTACTCTCACATAAATATCAATACATTGAGTTCCCTTTCAATTTCTGCACCTTTATTCTATTTATTCTTTTTTAAATCCAGTTATTCCTGGAAATCTGGGCAGATAGATTGGCCCTTCGTCAGTACTGTAAGTAATAAAGTAATGCAATGTGTTGTTCACACCCTGCCAACAGGTCTCTTTGCTGCAGCTTTTGGAAGTATTTGAAATAAGAGACATTTCAGGAAAATCTGTCAAATAAAATAGCAGAAGKTACCTCTTTCTCAAGGGGTGCATTAGCTATTTCATTGTTAATCTGCCCTGAGTTCTGTTTGTTTCCTAAGGCAATCAGAGTACATATCTCTGTGTACTGTCCATCATGTACTTTGGCTTGTAGATGGCAGTTGTGAGGATAAAAAAAAAAATTAAATAAGTGCAGCTTGCTGCCATCATTTTTCCTTCATTGTTTTTCATGTTAATTTCCTTGCCTTACACAGTGTTCTTGCCAAAGAATGGGAATATGTCTCCAGCAGAGTGTGACATTTATAATGAGTTGCTGAAATAATGTCTAACCCAAAAGCTTTATGATTGAGCAACCATATGTTTTGATGACCTGGGAGAAAATGTCCTAGAATGCTGAGTGAAAAAACCCTCTTAAAATACATCCAACATCAGGTTGCTGGCTGGCCTGTGTTTACAACAGGTAACATCACAATCATCAGAAATGGTGCAGAACACTGCAAACCAGCCTTGTACTATAAAAGAATCACAGAATGTTTGGGGTTGGAAGGGAACTTTGGAGGTCTACTTATCCCACTTCCCTGCTCACACAGGGCTACCTACACCCTGTAGCTTCTCTGAGCCACTGCTGCCAGGGCTTGATCACCTTCATAGTAAAGTGCCTCCTTTCACTCAGACAAAATATTCTATATWTCAGTTTGTGCCTGTTGCCTCTTGTTCTGTCATTGRACACCACTGAAAAAAGGCTGGTTGTCTTTAAACCATCCCTTCAGATATTTGTATATGGTAATAAGGTGTTCCATTCTGTCTTTTCTACAAACGCAGTCCATGTTACATGTACTACCCCAAACATTCACTGGACAGTTATCTGTCCCRTTCCACTTTAATTGGAGAAAAGAGCCTAAAGAGCCTACAGGATGGGCTTTTTTGTAACACRTCTTCAGCAGTTCAAGTTGAAAGGGCTTGTCCTGAGGTATCAAGCTGAAGTTAATAAAGTGTGTTTAAGGTTTAGCCTTATTTGTCAATAAGAAGTATGTATAACTATGCTGCAAACATAGAATGTGGTGTGTGAGAGCCAACAGTAGGACACAATTTGAATTAAGTTAAGCTTTTAAGACAAGTTTTTTTAAGCTGATAAATGAACATCCTCAAAGTTTTGCTTCCCYCTTTCAAATGTTTTAGATGATCTGGTTTTCAGAAAATACTGAGCACTTTCTGTTCTTTTCTCTTTTGAATAACACTCACTTTTCAGATACTCAAACATACCTGTCATATAAACAAGGAATCCGTGCCTCTGAAGATAGGATGCAATTTTTCTGTCTTAAGTAGACAGGCCCTTGATAAATAGCCACAAATACAGTTGTTTACAAGTCAGTTTCTACTATAGATCATCTCTGGCTTTTACAAATTAAAACTAGAGCTGAAAAGTAAAAATTGTTTTATTCTAGGAGCTGAAGTGTACATAAATAGTAGAAAGTCACTGATTCCACCTCAAACCTGTTTTCATCATCTGTCTCATTTGTGCTGTGTGAGCTGTACACATGAAAGAACCTGCAATCCTCATACTTCAAACACRGAGCTACATGCTTTGCTTCACTTAGGATTACTGCAGCTGTAGAGAAGAAAAGGCCTGAAGAGATATTTAGCAGAAAACCAGCCATGTTCTAGAATATGGTTAGTGTTATACTCATTTTACTCAGATATCAAGTCCAATTCAGACTGCATTCAATACTTTCCAGTTTGCCAGTCAGTTCCAATTACAAGGCACAGCTGTTTAGAACATTTTAGAGTCATTTGAAGGCTCTATATTTAATCTGAATAATTCATAGTATTTGCTAAGAGCATTTGGTATTACTTTCAATTATGAACATTGTCTTCTCAGAATGTAAAATAACTAGTACATATTTGGCCAGCTCTTCTGCTTGCGCAAATTGATGCAGCTCCATTGACTCGCAGTGGAGCGATTCCAACTTCTGTGAGTAGACAGAGTGGGCTACGGCACAGTTACAATCGTTGTCACTCCTGAGGTACAAAGTGGTCAGYACCCATGGCAGAGAGCATGGAGCTGTGTGCTGTGGAAAGGCTCAGAGACCTAAATTAAGCCTCCATCTCAGGAAGCCATTCTTGCTCCCCAAAGGGTAGCCACAGAGTTGTATTCATACATAGGCACACRCTGTGTGTGTTATGTACAAGTACACGGTGTTTTATGTGTGTGTTTACACATATGTTCCTGCCGTATTGGTTGCACTAATTCTCGGAAGGGGAATTCTCTTTATTGATGATTATCATATAGCAAGGACAAGAAAATGAAAGGGGCTACAGAGTTCAGCCCTCTGAACTCGCAGTTGATAAGGTTAGGAGAAAGTGCTTTCTGTATAAAAAAGTAAAGGGTGTGGGCCTGTAGTCATACCCCAAGATACATCCTCCTCCCTTTAGGCATGTAATGGGTAATAACACAATAGAAATAAATATGTAATGAAGAAATACACAGAAGAATTTGGGGAGGTCACTTCTTTGAAAGCATTTGATGAGTATTTTTTACTTTTTACTGTCAAAAGGAGGCAAGTTCCGAATTCCTTAAAATGTTCAAATCTTGACAATTTTAACTTTTAAGGAGGTTTTTTTTTTGGTTGGTTGGGTTATTTTTGCCTTTTTTTTTTAATGCAACAGTGAAGGTGTCGATTGAAACATCCTGGGAAATTATTATACTCAAGAGTATGCTAGCCAGTTATAAGAATACATTGATCCTATTTTTCTGAAAAGCCGTTAGCTGGAATTGCCAYTGCTAGACCACCAGGTTCAGTGTGCAGCTAGTAAGAATTCTGCTTCTTAATTCTCCTGTTACTTTCTCGACAGAGATTATGTGCAGTGAGTGCAGCACTCTGTCCCTAATAACAGCCATTACCTGGTACTCAGATGATGGTGCAGGAAACTTATAAACTCCAGACACAGGAACTCAATGGATCCAACTAAATCATGATCCAACTCCAGGGATCCAACATGAACATTTCCTGATGGCAGGCCACTTTCAGATTTTTGTCTCTTAGTCTGACTCAAAGTATTGTCTCATATGAGAACTATGATAGAGAGGAAAGTGAGGTTGCCCTTGATTTTTGCCAGGACATGCCAACTTACTAGGCCAACAACTTTGTGTATTTTAAAATGTGAGAGGAAAWAATGTGAGTACCTATGTGTGTGCCATACACTTGATATAATTTTCTGCTTCTGTTTTGTGACTCTTGATTTTTGTGCTGCTGAAATATATACTGTAGACTCAGTTATGGCAGCTGAGGGTTGCATGACTCTTGATGCCAGCTCACTTCTTTCCTGTATATTTTATTTTCTATGTACCACTTGAATAACAAATAACCAGTCACCTTCTAGATGCTAGATGACCTGCCAGATGATACAGTTCTTTAACAAGCTGTCCAACTCGGTGCACTGAGGTGYTGCGTCTTTTATTTTTTTTCTGGAACCATCCTACTGTAAACAAGGAACTTTATATGACACAAGAAAATAAACGGAGCTAAACAAAAAGAGAAAAACTGCCTATTTTCTGGAGGAGAGGTTATGGTCTTTATTCCATATTGCCTCTTTCCAAAGTATCTTTAACTCAGCGTGTAGAGAAATGATTGTGGCAATCCATGTGAAATGTGCGAGTGTCCTGGAGCAGAGGCAGTGGAAAGGGCCCTTTGATCCCCATCTGCTGCACTGCCCGGGTACTGCAGGACACGCTGGCGGCCTCCGTGGGACYCCGAGGACTAAAAATGAAAAAAATAAATAAACCATGAATCTCAGTAGATGGGTGTAATAGCAGAGAAAAATTATACTAAATAAAAACGAAACTTGATGATGTGGACTGTGTAGTGAGACTTAATGTTTCCCTAAACCCATACTGTGGTACCACGGCTAGGCACTTACAATCGAGCTCGACAAAGGATCCAATAAATTTTGGTTGCCACTCTAATGTGGTTATTAAGTTTCTACACTACCACATTTGTATCAGATGGGCTATGCCAATCTGACTGTGGTCAGTAGCAGAAAATTATCTCACTGAAGCAGATTCTTTGCTGGCTTCAAGGAGCAGCATTAGGGGAAATAAGAGGGTTGGTTGTAATATGTATGTGCCCTGTGCCACAAACAAGACCATGAGCCACTCCAGACTGGAGAACAGGCTGCCATTAACATTCAGTGAGATGTCTGCTGTGATTCCAGAACCTTCCTCCTACCTGACTACCTCTCCTACCTGTCTCTGTCTCTGTGTTGTGACCAGATGSTGAACATGCCTTTCTTTGGCAATGCTGCCCTACTGAAACGGTCTCTGTTGCTGAATGACACTAGTTGCATAGAACAGGCACAATTTTGTTACATTTTTTTTTCTTTGTAGGGAATGGAGATGTGAGCAAAAATGTTTATCTTGCATAAATCTTTATCCCACTGTGTGGAACTCAATTTATAATGAAAATTTGGCATACAGTTATAAAGTGAGTATGAATTTTCATACAGTAGCATTTACAATGTTGGACTTTTACATCTAAGGCTAATCAAAACATTTTTTTTTAAATCTTTAAATTTCACCTGTGCTAGGCATTGCATAGCGGGTAGCCACCAGTACTGCAGTATTTTACTTCTCTTCATTTTCATTATATGGTACAAGATTACATGAAGAATCCTTCAAGGGCTTTGGGGAAGTTATTTAAGTACCAGTTATTTTTAACAATGTTTTAAATTTATAAACCCTGATTTAAAAATGATAACTGAAAACAATGCTACTGATGCCAACAGAATCAGGATTCTAAATGTTAAATCAGGCAAATCAAAAACTGGAGAAATTGCTGCCTTAATCCCAGGCACCTTTTGCCCACTGTTTGTCATGTTAATGCCCTTCTGTTTGATATTTACTTGTTTGGACATTGCTACCTCACTCCTTTTGCAAATCCATGTTAGCATTGATGTCATAAAGTAAGCAGAATGAATGTGTGAAATTGCTTGTAAAATTATCAAATGAAATGAATAGCAAATACGATGACTTTTTTTTAAAGTTGAATAAGGAAACTGTCAGCAATGATGCACTCCTGTAATGCTTACTAGAGCTGAACAGTATATATATAAGTCTGTGCAAAAGAGGCAGCTAGGCAGAGCTCAGGATCCTCAAGGCTTGCCATAGTTGCAGAAGAGAGTGACAGCTCTTTCTGCAACTGCCACATATCCTTCAAAGTATAA